AAGAATTGAGCAACCTAATAGTTCAATGTGGTTATCTTTGCAAACTTATGGAAATGTTTTCTTAAATGATGATAGGTTTTCTTATTCTACAATCTTTAGGAATTAAGACAAGATTTTTTCTCTTTTCCTTTTTACTTCACAAGAATTTTATGTCATCTGTTATTATTAGATTTGAGGCATTAAAGACATTGATTGTTATATGAGCGAATAATCTTTTTGAATAATGTGTAGCTTACATTGCTCATGGTTTATAAGAGAATAATCTTTTCCAATAATTTGTAGCTTACATTGCTTATGGTCACAACGACACATAAAATGAAAGCTGAAGATACATAAAATGTAAGTATTAAGAAATTTCACAGATAATATTACGTCATCAAGTGAAGATTTAAACGAAACACTTTTACAAGCAAGTTATACTAATGAAATAAACTGAACAAATAACCACGTGCAATGCACGTGTATCTTTCCTAGTATCTTCTAAACACGCATCTGCTACCAACATGTCATTAAGATATAATAACAAGATAATGAAGCTAGACTCGAACCTTTTGAAATAACAACAATGATCCGAATTGCATCTTCTATAGCCATTTTTTTGCATGAAGTTATCAAACTTCTTATACCACTGTCTCGGAGCATATTTCAAACCATATAAGCTCTTCTTGAGCTTGCACACCATCTCTTCCTTTCCTTCTTCAATGAAGCTTTCATGTAGATTTCTTCATCCAAGTCACCATGAAGAAAGACAGTCTTTACATCTAACTGCTCAAGAAAGAGGTCTTCTGCAGCTACCAAACTCAACACCACTCTGATGGTTGTGAGCTTCATAACAGGAGAAAATATCTCCATGTAGTCCACTCCTTCCCGCTGTTAAAACCCCTTCACTACTAATATGGCCTTCAATCTCTTACTTTCATCACTCTCTTACTTAACCCGGTAGACCCATTTGTTATGTAAGACCTTCTTCTGTGCAGATAGTTGGGCTAGCTCCCATGTCTCATTAGTGAGTAGAGAATCCATCTCCTCCTGCATTGCATGCTCCCACTGCTGAGATTCACTCACTTGCATTGTCTCTTCATAGCACTCCCTCTTCCGCCCTTTTGGAAGCTGAACAAGCTCCCATGTATCGTTCTTATGAAGAGACTCAATCTCCTCATGTATAACTACCTGCCACGAATCAGCCTCCAAACTCTGCTCGGCCTCTCTGAATGTAATAAGCAATAACTCATCGATATTCTCCATCGGAAGTGCATACGCAACTACTGTGTCGGTATACCGTGCTGGCGTTTGTATGTCTCTCCTTTGTCTCCGAACCGCAATCGAATCCTGAACTTGAACCGCCGGTCCCTGATCTTGCACATCTGTACCTGTATCCTCCTCGTTATTGTCTTGATCGCCTGGCGTTACCTCAGTCGGCACTCTAATGGATATTGTACCATCTGGACAATGTGGAGCTGCATCGATCTCCACCACATGCGATATCTCCTTCGTCGGGTCGTTCTCCGCCTGATGAGAGCTGGGAAGCTTCAAGATAAAAGCTTCATCGAACGTGACATCCCTACTCAGCACAATCTTCCTATCAACTGGATCCCATAGCTTGTATCCCTTGACAACACGATTTAATCCTACAAATATGGCCTTCCTAGCTCGAGGTTCCAATTTATCTGTTCTCACATGATAAAATGCAGGGCACCTAAATACCTTGAGCTGGTCATAATCATGTGCTGGCTTTCCCGACCACTTCTCCATAAGGGTCTTCCCCTCAATCGCAGATGAAGGCAGTCTGTTAATGAGGTGGCTCGCAAATGATAATGCCTCATTCCAAAAGATCTTCTCCAAACCACTTTGCGAAAATAATCATCGGACCTTCTCCAGTAAAGACCGATTCAGCCTCTCTGCCACCCATTCTGCTGCGATGTATGACTAACTGTGAAGTGTCTCTCTATACCCTCGTCTCGACATAGCTGCTGAAAGGGGTCAGAAGTATACTCACCACCATTATCGGATCGCAACGTCTTGATCTTTATCCCAGTCTGCAGTTCTAATCTCTTCTTCCACTCCACAAACAAATCTAGTACTTCATTTTTATGCTTCATGGTGTACACCCAACAACGCCTAGAATAGTCATCTACAAAAGTGACGAACCAATGTCGACCACTAAGTGATGCAGTCTTGGTAGGACCCCAAACGTCTATGTGCACGTAATCCAGGATGCCCCTCGTCCTATGAATGGCAGTCTCGAACTTCACCTTCGTCTTCTTACCAAGAACACAGTGCTCACAGAACTCAATCTTTCCACTCTTGGCTCCCTTTAATAGCCCCTGCTTGCACAAAGCCTGCAGTGACTTCTCACCTGTGTGCCCCAACCTATAGTGCCAAAGTCTACTCATGTCCGCCTCTGAAATAGCTAAAGCTACCTAGCTAACTTCGGTGCTCCCCTTCAGATAATACAAATTTCTACTGCGGACTCCCTTCATCACCACCAAAGATTCCTTAGTAACCTTTGCTACAGCGTCCTCAAAGATCACCTTGAATCCCTTCGCCTCTAAAGCTCTAACTGAGATAAGATTCTTCTTCAGCTGAGGAACAAATCTCACCTCTTTCAACTCACGAACTACTCCATCGTGCACCCGAATCCGCATGGTACCTATCCCACAAATACCACAGGATTGATCATTTCCCATGACTACAACACCCCCATCGAGTCTCTCAAATGATGAAACTCAATCTCGCCTAGGAGTCACATGATAAGTAGCGTCAGAATCAAGCATCCAATCTGATACATCCAAATAATTCACCTTCGGAGTATCAATAGAGAAAAGCTCGAATCATCGGAATCATCGCCTTTCGTAATATTCACCTCATTGGCCTTCAGGCCCTTTTTCTTGCTATTCTCCTTCTCTTTGATCTTTGGACAATCTCTTTTCCAATGTCCATGTTCCTTGTAGAACGCACACTAGTTTTTAGCTAATTGGTGATGGCCTCTTGACTTTGACCTTCCTCTATTGTCACCTCTCGGATATGGGCTTCTACCTCTCGTCGACAAGGCCTCTCCTGAAGTACTAGCGCGGGAAGTCTCCTTGTCCTTCCTCCTCAAATCATAATTCGTTAAAGCGTTAGTAACTTCACTATAGCTGATAGAAGATCTCCCATTCAACAGAGTGAGTACGAAGGTATCATATTCCTCATCCGGTAAGGAGCATAACAAAATAATCGTCTTGTACTCATCCGATATCTTCTCATCAACATTCGCCAAGTCCGATAACAACTTAGTGTAGTTTTTCACATGAGCCGCTGGTGAGGTGCCTCGGGACATCTAAAATTTGAATAATCTACAGCAAGTACAAACGGTTCTCAACACTCTTCGTAAGGTACTTATTGTTGAGAATCTCCCACATCTTCATTGTAGACGTCATCCCAATCACATCGTATTCCAGCTCCTGTTTCAAACAGGACCTGATCATCCCACAAGCGTTCCTATTCATCTTTTCGCATACCGACTCTTCATATTTAGGTGGTCTCTCTTGGACCATGATGGTCTCCTCTAAATTCTGAGCATTGAGTGCTTCCTGTACGTCGCTCATCCACAAACCAAAGTTGATTTTATCGTCATATTTTATAACACTAATCTTAGTGTTCTGAAAACCAACTTGAACTGTACCTGACATATTCTTGCTGCTTTCTCCAGTTACTTCTCCCACACTCACAATCTTCGAATTACAAAGAAAGATCCAAACTTTGATAGAATTAAAAAGATACCCAACTGACCCCTAAATCGGATTCCAAATTGATCTCCTAACCACACAAGGAAAGCAAGATCATCACGGCACTCCTCAACGCTATCTCCACCGAAACTTAGAACTCCAAGAACCAAGCTTCCAAACTGAATCTTCCTCCACCCAATGTCAAAACCTTATATCTCAAATCTGGAGCTCTGATATCAATTGTTGTGTGCCTTTACAGAAGCGTGCTCGCACACCGAACGAGTCGGTGAGCACGGGAGAAGATTAACAAACCCAACTCGGGTACAATCCAATAATTAAATATGACAAGCAAATCACAAACACAGATATTTACGTGGTTCGGCAATTTGCCTACGTCCACGGTAGCGGCACAAATAATTTCTTATTAGTCATAAGAAATTACAAATAAGAGAGAAGATCTCAAGCTTGAGATCTCTCAAAACAATAACATTGTTTTAACTTAAAACACTGTTCAATCTCTCTTAAATAACTCAACTTCCCCAAATAAATACACCAACTCCTCCACAAATTAATGAGAAGAGGACAAAAGGGGAAAACCAAATCACAGAGAACAAAAGGGATTTAAATCCCAAATCGGAGAGAGCTCTGCTTTCTCAAAGCTCCGCCACCAATCTCTCTCTGACTTGCTCGCTCCCATCAGATCGTGAACAAGGGTTTCCCTTTTATAGGGAAACCCTAGGGCGAGGCGAGCTCCTCCTCCAGCTGGCTTCCCCTCCACGTTGAGCCTCGCGATCACCTCGAGCCCCGCGCACACGACAGACGACACCTTGCTTTCGCCTGTCCAGCCCCGCCTACAGGCGAGCTCGAAGTCGCCTCACAACATCTCGCCTGCAGGCGAGATCGAACCTCGCCTCACACCTCGCCTGCGATCTCGAATAGGCGACTTCACCTCGGCAGGCGAGTTTCCTCGCCTGACCATCCTCGGCAGGTCAGCTCTACTTCATATAAAATATCCCAGATAGTTAAGGGAGGAAGAGAGTACAAATCGTTCATATTTTGAAATTAGTTTCTCAAGTCATCAAATTGAAATTAGTCCCCTCAAAGATTTTTAGGTGATTCAAAATTAGTTTACCTGGTTAAAGATGGGTCGAAATTGAGGTAATATTCCCTTATTAATTTAACATTTTTGGGTGTGATACTAGTTGTCCTTGGTTAACAAATAAATTTAATCATGATTAAGAATTTAAATGATAAATATAACAAAGTGACTAATGTACTCATTTTATTTCATACCTTAGAAGGAGCCAAGTCATCCATAAGTCGAGTGAGGACTCCAGTGAGGTAGAGTAGTTGGTGTGAGTGCTCCCAAAGATCGAGTGATTTTTCTGTAAAATCGTGGCCTACAAAATAAAATGCATGGACGAGCATACATGGATAGCCAACTGAAATCCAACCATTTTCCACGTATTTCTCAAGAGACGGCGTTACGCCCTCGTGAATGTATTGTGCGTCTCTCAAGTATGACTCACACAGACGTTTCCACTGAATAAAACAATCAGCACATGATCAGTATTAGCAAATTAATTAATTAAGGTTAATTAACTGAAGATGCATGCGCCTTGGGGTTTAGCTACTTAGTATTTAATTATGTAGCTAGTAATAAAACAGGACGAGGATGTAAGTAAGTAGGTGTGCTCTTCAGAGTACAGCTGATGAATGTGACATGAAGTTATTATATATACCTCTTTTATTAAGTGAGATCTGATGTCAAATCCGAAGTCCTTGAGGAAAACATATGCGAACTCATTAACCAAATTATATACTGCCAAATAGCATAACTTCAGGTAATCTGGGAGGCCTTCCATGGCCTTGAGATCCCACCTAATAAATGAAACAAGTGGAAAAATTAAAATGTCAAATTTTAATTATGTTAGTGTCGCTAACTTAGTCATATTAGATAAATAAGTATGATCTATATATAGTAGATATTCTTTTCTAACACAGATTAATTAGTTTCACGTATACCTCTGCGCCAAATTAAAACATCACTTAAACTAGTTCTTATTACTATATTGAGTTATTCCAACAACCCCCCCCCCCCCCCCCACACACACACACACAAATAAAATATAAATAATAATTTTGGGGTTTTTACGCACAACCACAATGAACTTTATTAAATCAGAGAAAAGTCCTAGAACTTTTCAAAAAATTATATTAGCCACCCTGAAACTATTGGGAAACCTCATAAAATTAAGTGTTATCGGAAGAGTAATGAGTTTGAATTATGACAAATGGAAATTTTGAAGTAAAGGAATTCATGTGACCAGAACAAACACACAACAACTAGCTGGTCACATTTTAAGGAAAGAAACAATTTGAAAGACAATCAATGATTTGGACGGGAAATTTAAATATATACATACTAGTTGAGGGGATATATAATATACTAATATATAGAATAGTAGAATATATAATATATATATATATATAAAACCCTTTTTTAATAGTTGAAAGAGATATACAAGTTTGTGCCCAAGATGCAGGGGGTTTTGTGAAATTACCCTACAATAAGATGTTATTGAAAATACATGAAACATGGAGATGAATAAAGAGTTTTGTGTCGCTTACGAACCTTCTAATTGCCGTTGTGAATAGTTGGGCTTCTTCTAGTGTGGCGTGTATATCATAAAAATCATCGATCACAAATCCAACGGTATTAAACTTTGCCACTACCTTCCTGCACTTAGAAAATTTGGGTTCCCATATAGTTCCATTCATCCATAGGTAACCTTCAACTATGCGGTCCCTTGAGAAATCAACTTTGTGTACTAGATCCAGTTCTTCCCACCATCTGCGTATAACAAACATATATCAAAGTAACATTTTTAATTAAAAAAAGGATTGTATTACTAGTACAATTCCTACAGATTATTTTAATTTCCTTGGTTTATGTATGTTGGTATATACTGTCGCACGCCTATGCGGAAGCATGCTCGCTCACCAAACAAGTCGTAAGCACGGGAGAAGAATAACCAATCACACACGAGCACAATCCAAAACTAAAATATGACAGATCAATCATAAACACGGAGATATACGTGGTTCGGTAATTTGCCTACGTCAACGGGGAGAGGATGGGGAGATTCCACTAAATCAAGGAGAGTACAAAGGGTTACAATCTCACAAAACTCACAAACTAACCCTCAACCAAAGCTTTAAACTTGCTCACAATATCTTCATCTCACAATGCTCAAAAGTCTCTCTAATCTCTTATTATAACTCTCCTCTTTTTGATGATCTTAATCTCTTCTAATGCGTTCCATATATATAGAAAACCTAAAACCAAAACAGACTAGGAATTCTAAAACCAAAAACAAAATAAATTAGGAATCCTATTAACATGTTACCAAAACAGATTAAGAATCATGTTACCAAAATAGATTAGGAATCCTAATAACCTGTTACAAAAACAGATTAGGGACCTGTTATCCAATATATACGCCCTACAGATAAGTAAGCTATCCTAGTGTAATAAAAGATATATGATTTGATAAAGATTTTTTTGTAGATTATAACTTACAAATCATCTTTTAACTAATACTTTAAATACTTATGAAGGGGAAAAACAATGATCACTTCTTTTTGCTATGTTATCATGAGAAGAAGAGAATATAATTTTTTGATTAGTTATAGTAGATACTTGGAATGGTAGGGTTTTTCACAAATAAATTAAAATCATAAGTTTAAAATTTAAAATTAGATAACTTAGCCAGCAATCTTTCCTTTACAATCTAAATAAAAATTTATAATTTTTAACAACTAAAAAACAGTTGGGATTTCAATATCCCAAGATTTAAATCAGTGCTCATGTTTGGCTCTGTTGAGATTATGACATGAACGGGATCAGGACTTCCCTTTAATCCCAAAATGGGTAGTAAAGAGTTTCATTATCCCCTAGCATTCAGGACGTAGGACGTCCCATCACTATTATACCCTCTCACCTCACATATTCCCCACACTAATGTATTATAGTATTATAGAATAATATGTTAAATTAGGGATAATCTTAGGATTTTTGGGTGATTTTGTAAGATATCGAGGGTTATTTATATTTTTATAATTTTTAAGGGGTGGCTGTAAAGTTTTTAGGGTGCTGTTTTGTAAAGTTTTATTAGGTTATTTGTAATTTACAAAAACTTCATGGGCTTTTTAAAAATTCTTTGTGGATATTTGTAATTCTAAAAACTTTTAAGGGATTTTTTGGTAAAACCTTTAATGAATTATTTATAATATTTGAAATTTTTAGCATGGTATTCATTACTTTAGTGACTTTTGTGGGTCAATTGTAAAATTTTCAATGATTGTTTTAAAATTCTCAAGGGAATATTTCTAATTTTTAAAAATATAAAGCGGCTGGTTATAAAATTTTTAGGGGTTTGTTTGTAAAATTTCAAGGCGTTGTTTGTAGTGTTTTATCTTTTTAGAAGATTGTTCATAAATTTTTAGGGAATATTTGTAATTTATGGATTTTAAAGGGGCAGTTTATAATTTTCATGGGATATTTGTACTTTTTGAAACTTTCAAGGGTTCAATTTATAAACTTTTAGGAAGTTGTTAGTAATATTTCAAAATTTTTAACAGTGTAAATGTTATTTTTGCAACTTCCATGGGGCCAATTGTGAAATTTTCAAAAGTCCACTTATAAAAATTTTCAAGGGGATATTTATAATTTTTAAAAATATTAAGAGGTTGGTCATAAAATTTTAAAACAATGGTAAAATTTCAGAGTACTATTTTTATCTTTCAATTTTTCATGGGACTTTTGTGCTTTTTTTTAACTCTAAATGGATTGTTTGTATCTTATGGATTTTAAAAGGGAAGTTTGTAATTTTATGAATTTTGTTATGTTATTTATAATTTTTGAAATTTCTCAGGGGTTTATTTGTAGTTTTTCAATCTTAAGGAATTGTTCGCAAGTTTCTAATTTTTGTACCATTTTGAACATTTATATTTATTAGGAGGCTATTTCTAATTTTTGGATCTTAGAGCATAGTTTATAGTTTTTGGAATTTTTATGGTAATTTTTAGATTTTCAATAAGGAAGTTGATAATTGAAAACGAAATTTTTTATAATTTTTATATTTTTAATAGGGCAGTTGATAGATTTTTAATTTTGAAAACTTCTTTCATATAAATAAGGCTTTCATTAAGAGAATTTCCGAATTATAGATAGTTTTAAGTTGATAAGGATTGTTGTTACTAAAGAGGATTAAAAAGGAGGATTTTGATAATTAGAATTTTCTAATTATGGATAAATTTAATTTTATCATTATTCTTAGGCTTACTTGTCAACATATCAGTTTCTAATAGGATAAGATTCAGGAAAATTTCACTAATTTGTATATAAAAGAGACATATGATTATGAGATTTTTTTTTAATTATGGATAGTTATAATTTTTATTAGGATTACAAAGTAATTGATGATTACAATGTTCTAATTGTATATAATTTTAATTTGATGAAATTTCTTAATTAGGTAAAAATAAGATTAGGTGTCCACATGTGATCTTCTTATATGAGAGAATGATACATGGTAATTTTTTAATATGACATATGCCATGCACTTAGATGACATGTGTTAGTTTTTTGTGCATTTAAAAACACTACTCCTTTCTTATTATATATAAAGGAGGGATAGTGCATGTGTGTTGCATGTCTATGTATTTGTCTTATGTTCTAAATTTTTTTAAATAATTTTATTATATAATTTATTGAAAAGTTTGATTTTGGACTTAAACATAGAAAACCTTGAGAATATATTAGTAGTTTCTCATCAGCTAAATTTCTAGATTGAATATAATTTTGTATGAGGTTTATTTCTTAAATTTATAAACATTAGTCTACAGTTTGTAAAGTTTTAGGATTCTTTTCTGTGAATTTATGAAATTTTGGTTTTTTTAATAAAGTTATAAAATTATCACATTTAATTTAATATTTATGAAGTTGAAGGGTTGGAGAATTTAATTTGAGATTAGTAAGGATATTAAGATTGATGGTGAAGTTATGATGGTGGTTATATGAGAGAAATTAGATACATTTCTATGCCATTTTAAACAACTACACAACAACAATATAAAAAATATATGTTTATATGTAAATGAATTATATCGGGCTAAAGGTTCGAGGCATGCACTGATAAGACGATGCAATTTTTTACAGAACTATACAGTCTACACACGAACAATAATAACTAAGAAAAAAATAGATGGGAAGAAATTATGTGCAATTTAATATATTGCTTCATTAAACAGGGACATATAAAAGAAAGAAATTAACAAATAAAAATTTTAATCCATCTTCACTATTACCTGAGCCCATTATCCATGGAAATGAGCATAAGCTGAAAAAATGTAGATCTTTACATAAAGCTACAGTCTTTTAGCTATTAAGCAACAAATGAATTGAAAGTTAAGTTTAGAGGAGTGAGTTCATACTTAAACATCCTTCATTACGCACATAATTTCAGATTACTTAATTGATAAAGTTTTCCCTACCTATTTAAATATAAGAAGAAATAAAAGTAATATGTGGATTCACCTACGTAGATTAAGTTTATTCTGAAATTCATTTAATTTGTTGGCGCCTGTGGTTAAATCTGGAATAATACAGATATATAATAGCAAAAACTGAACAGAAAACTGAAGTGCAGTAATTTAAAATTTTCAACTCAGCTGATGTGCGTTTGTAAAACGCTGTGCTTAAAGCATTATTTGGCCTACTCCGGTGCAAGGATCCCAATGCCAAATTGTTTTCAGGAACAGCAGTCCAGTACTCTGGTGTGCACCGACCCAGTACTATCAAGATCTCCTCGATCTATAAGACAAAGATCTCCTCGATCTATCAGGCAAAGATCTCATCGATCTATCAGGCAAAGATCTCATTGATCTATCAGGCAAAGATCTCCTCGATCTATCAGACCTTCTCGGTCTAGGCACTGTTCCTACGAGCACTAGCTATTCTACAATATATATCTGTATATATTGATTGTTGTTTTTGGAATGGATTTTCCTTAAGGATTTATGGTCTATTTATAGCGTTTGGGAAAATACTATGTACTAATAAAATAATATATTTTATTATGCATGTAGGCCCCACGCCCAAAAAATTTCTCTGAGTTTGGCACCGCCGAAGAAATTTAAAACCCTCATGTTTTTACTGTTCATTGAAAGAGAGAAAAATTTCCATAGCCGCCCATGTGTGAGGAAAAAACAATTGTGTGTGGGACCTGTAGGCGTCTAAAAATGCCTATGGGTGTCCGCACACGGCTCGAGATGGAGAGAAGACGATGAACGTCGTTATCCGAGTCTAAGAGGATTATCTGTTGTCGACAAGCGCATGAAGCAAAACGACGAACCAAGTGGCACGCGCGCATCAATCAACACGTGCGCGTCAATCAGTTCACGAGCGTCAATCAACACACGCGCATCAGTTAACGCGTGCATGTCAATCAGTTCGCGCGTCAATCAGTTCGTGCGCGTCGGTCAACACGCGTGCATCAATCAACACGCGCGTATATCAATCAACGCGCGTTCGACAGTCAATCCCACAACGAAGTGTGCAAGTCAACAAGACGGTCAAACACGCAAAACGGTGGAAAATACAAGTCCCGGAAGAGTCGGAAAACCAAAAGAAAGTGTCAGGCTTCGGAACTCGCGCCGATGCGGGACGGCCGAAACCGACCCGCACCAGCGCGGGTCGGCTTTGGCCGACCCGGTCGGCCAAGGCCGACTCGCGCCCCCGCGGGTCAGCGCGACCCGTCGCGCTGTGTTGACCCGAAAACTCGTTTTTTG